CGCAGAACTCCCGCTCCTTTCCCGCCGCCGGGCGCCAGGCTGCCAGTCGCCGGGCGCCCCCTCCCTGACTTTCCTTCCCGCACTGCGCCCCCTGTCGGCCACCGCACTGCGCTTTCCCGGACCTTGGCGTGGTCCTGAGCGGGGCTAGCAAGCCCCTTGGGCTATCGCACTGGGTCCCCTCCAGGTCACCCAGATGCGTCCACTACCGAGCGGGAGCATGAGGCCCTCTGGAAGGGATGGGAAGATGTCAGTGCAGCGAGCCCGGCCAGCTGGGGAAAGTTTGGAGCGGGGCGGGGAGGGGTTATCCTCTCAGTCTCAGAGTCGGGTTTCTGAAAGTGAGCTCTGTTGATCTGAGCCCAAGCCCAAATCCTCGGAGGCCTCCTAGGCCTCTCACCGTCCTACAGACCTCCGTGGAGCCTGGGGCCTTGCATTTTTAGCAAGCTGATGTTTCCCTTGTTTGCTCCTTGGAGATCAGCCTGACTCGGGGCCACGGGTGGTGACCGTGGTTGATGTGTGAGGTTGTGTGTTGTGTGTTGTGTGTCTGCCCTCTTACGGTTCAGTTGCTTCCATCAGTTACTCAAAGAATCTGGACCAGAAAGGTGCGAGGAACTCCTGCCTTCTCATGCTCTCACCCTCAAACCCTGGAGAGGGGACCTCCGGGTGTCCTGGTACAACAAACAGAGATGCAAGTAGGAGCTGCTGGCACTCCTGCTGCTTTCCTCCTCGACCACCTCTGCCAGGGCCACCTATATGGGACCAGAACGCTGGGAGCTTGGAAAACCTACCAGAAAGAAGGTTAAGGCACTGGGGCTGCCCTTGCAAGTGGGGCAGCTGCCCTGGCTCTAGCTACAGGGTGCAGGACTGGCAGCAACTGTTTGAGCTCTGCTCTGACTCATGCTGAGGGTGCTGACTGTAGGGGCAGGAGAGCTGGATTGCATATCCCAGAGAGCTGGACTCCACCACTGAGCCCGGAGTATCAGGCAAGCTCTCAGCTTCTTGAGTCCTCCTCCTTCTGTCATATTGGAACAATGACACTTTGTCAAGCACTGGGAGAGTAAAATAGGTGGATACTTTTAAAGAAAAAAATTGCCTAGTGCTGCTTGTTGAAGCACGGTAAAACAGATTTTGTTCAGGATTATCATCAGTGGGATTTTGCAGCAGGGGAGAGAGACTGGGCTCAGCTCTGAACACAGTATGGACAAGTGGGAATTTACAGGGTAGAAAACAACTAAGAGGTAAGGGTAAAGGAAGAGTCTCGGTAAACAAACTTAGCAGGATTCTGGCTGAAGATAGGCCAGGGTGACTAGACAATGACTGAAGGCTGGTGGAGGATGAGGAAACTGCTCAGATATTGAAGGTCATCAGATATCCAGAGTTCTGGCTAACCCGATTTAGGTTTGGTGTTTTACTTTGTCAAAACTGTATTTTACAAAGAAGTGCATGGGTGGGCTTAGAAGATTTGGGAGCCTGAATAAACTAAATTTGCCCAAACAGAGGATCTTGTAAATATATAAACTCCAAGTGGAGGCATTCTGCAAATGAGTTATTTTTCTTACTTTGTGGACAATAGGATCTTCCTGTAGGTGTCTTTTCCATTAACCCTGAATACCTTGAGCATGAGCCCTTGTGTCTTCTCCAGCAGGATTTTCTTCCCTTTGGATAACCTGCTTCCAAATGCCCATTTCTGCTGGGAGAGACTATTGAAACTTCTTATGAACTGGCTTACTAGAGCTTAGAGCAGCTCTTTCCAAAGTTACCTGTATGCTTTTGGCACTTGAGGGACCCAGTTTGGGACATACTTTTGTGTCTCTCATCTGTGGCCTGCAGGACCAGCTAGCAAGGTGGCCATCAAGGAACTCTAGGCATCTTCTTGTGGATGGTGGGCACCATCTACCTGGAGACAGACCACATAATCTGAGTTTGCAAGTGGGCTTGCTTAAAGTGTGTGATTCCAACAAATGTCATTTCCTCACCTGGGGGTCTGAATGTCATTCCTTACCTCTTCTTTAGAGACCTGAAATCATCCTCATGCTCTGAGTTTTCCCTCCAATCTTTTCCTTTTCTGTTTATGCTCCACATATGGTCACTCAAAAGTCTTCCATCTATTCAAGAGACAAATTTCAGGGCTGGGGATTTAGCTCAGGTGGTAGAGCACTTGCCTAGTATGTGTTAGGCACTGTGTTCTGTCCCTAGCACAGAGGGAGGGGAAGAGGGAGAGGGAGGGAAGGAAGAAGGGAGGAAGGGAGGGAGGGAGAGAGAGAGATTGGTTTACTTTCATCAGTGCCTACCTGTTCTGGTGGCCAATGTCTCACAATTCTCCTTCCCTTACAGCTAAGATTTCTAGAAATATATTTGTTGTCACACTTCTTTACTTCCATTCATTCCTCTTCCACTTTGTTTTGGCTTCTGGCCACATTACATCATTGAAATGCCCCTTGCCAGTGACCTAGTTGCTAAATTCAGTGGTCACTTTCAGTCCTCATCTTGGTTGACTTTTAAGCAGCATCTGATCTTATTACCTGCACTATTTTGATTGAAACTCTACCCCCTTGGCTTGTAGGGAGCTACTCTCCTCTAGATTTCCTTCTTTAGTTACTTATTTTTTCAGTGTAGGGGATTGAAAGTGCACATGTTAGGCAGGTGCTGTACTACTGAGCTAAAGCCCTTGCCCAGTTGTCTTCTTGAGTTCCTCTAGAGCCCTTTCTTATTCCTGTTCTTTACTGGTTGGTGTTACCCAGGATGCTGCCTCAGACCTCTTCTAAGCAATGTCATTTTTATTCATGGCTTTATTTGCCACCACACAATGGCTCCAAGCCTGACTTTTTAAATCTATAAACTAATAATCTAAGCTGTCGTTGATTCATGGTTATTGGTGGAAGGCGCAAGACTTTGGGCCTAGAGAACTAGGACTTTATTGCTGAGGGCACAGCATGTAGCATGAGCCTCAGTATATTTGTATCAGTTCTCCTTGCCTCCAGGTCCCTCAGGGCAATGAGATGGGCCCAGATGGATGCTCCACATGCAGCTGGCTTGTGTCGTAGCTGGGAAACACTGAGCTTGGGGAATCTACTGCTTATATGGAAGGTGCTAAGCAAGACTGCTGTTTGTTCTAGAGGGACAAGGGTTGCTTGCTATGGACATAACACTGAGAAGAAGTGGAGGTAAAAAGAAGCAAGGGGGCTTGCT